CAGGGAGTCAGGGTGCACCAGCTCGCGGTGCAGAAGGCGGCGCACCTCCTGCACGTCTCCCCGGGCCGCGGCCCCACTCAACCGATCGCCGGCGCGGACCTCCTCCAGCAGCATGTTGACACAGGCGGCCTGCGAAGCCCCCCGCCCGACCCGGACGCGGTCAGTGCCGGAGAGACCACCGATGCTGGCCAGCTCAAACCTCCCGCGGCGTACCCGGCCTGCGCAAGGCTGCCGGCCGGGCTCGACAGTCCGGGGCTCTAGAACGACCCCCACCCTCCCGGCCGGCTCCTCCCCTCTGTCAGCCAGCGGGTCGCGAGGGGCTAGGAGCCGGGACCAACCCGCTGCGGCCCACAAGGCCCAACCCGGCGCCCGCCCCTTGGGGGCCGGGTCTCCCCCCAACTCACCCTCCCTCCTCCTCGACGGGCGGGGTCTCTTCTGAGCCGGCGCTACAAACGCAGCAGCAGAGTAGTCCGCCAGGGGGCGGAGACAGTGTGCTCGAGGCCCCGCCCGCAAACGCCGCGGATTTGTTTTCTTATGAACTCGCTACGTTGTAGCCCAGCCCCGTTGCCCGACGCGCGACCCTTCGGCGCCCCGCCCACACGTCCAGCGCAGCCAATGGCTAAGCGTCGCCGGGGTGGTTTGCACTCCGAAGTGGGCGGTGCCACTTCTGACTGGCCGAGCCGTTGCGACCGATGGACCGCCGGCAATGGCGGGGTTTTCGGTTTTTCAAATGCTCCTGGCGGGCGGGAAAGAGGGCCGTTTTAACTGACCTGGGGGAAAAAGGTCAAGGATAGGGTAGCGAGGCGGTTCCAGGACCTCGGCACCTCCAGGGGAAAGGGAGGCAGGGCTGAGGCCGCCCAGTCCAGGGTTCTATCATCCAGAAGGTGATAGGCATTTATTCGCCCTACTGGGAGCGGAGTTTTATTTCATTCATTCATCCACCGTGTGCAGGAACATTTTCCGGCGCTGGGTAGGGAGCGCACATTCAAGCACCTAAATAATTTAAGATAGCGTTAAGCACCGTGAATAAAATAAAACGGGGAAGTGAGGGTGGGTGAGGAAGGAATCACGTTCCGGCTCAGATTGAGCCAGCCCTGCCTGGCACGGCAAGAGCAAGGGCGAGGAGGAAGGTTCCTGCCGCAGCTCCCACGTGGGAGGTGGCTATCACAGAGGCCTTCATTCAAACATTTACTGTGCACTTAACTGTGTACTAGGCACCCAACTGGAGAGAGCCGGGCCACTCTTGCTGCGGGGCTCCTACCATTTAAGGCGGCAGAAGATAGTAATTAAATCTTTTCAGAGTGGTAAACGCTAAGGAGTTGATAAAATGAGATAGGTGATAGTCTCTTGGGAAAGGAAGGCCGTTGAAATAGAGAAGTTAGGGAGGGCCGCCCTGCGTTGGTGACTGATTTAAGACCTGAAGGTGCAGGAAGGAGCTATGTGGATAGCTAAGAAAAAGCATGCTAGGTGGAGGGTACTACAGATCAGAGGCACTTAGGTGGGATCGTGCCTGGTGTGTCCAGAAGCGAGGTATAGACGGAGAGGAGGTAAGGGCAGGTAGGTGGCAGGAAGGGTGCCGCAGCTCAGACTAATGAGCTGCAGGGAGAACTTTACTTTTAACAAGACGAGAACTATAGGTGGGTTCTGAGTAGAGGAGCCAGGATCTGCCTTCGAAGTTAACAGGCGCCCTCTGGCGGCTATGAGGGGAAAATTGGTGGTAGATGAAAGTCCGGAACCAGGCAGGCGACAGAGATAGAAGCAGCGAGGCTGGCTCAGATGAGCTGTGACCAGGGCTGAGGAATGGATATGTTGCCCACTCCCATCCCAGCAATTCAGGGACGTCCGTGGCATCCCCTGTCCCCCAGCCAAGAAGCATATACACAATGGCTAAATTCATCTTTTTAATGCCAACCCATAATGCAGAAGAGTGGGCAGGGGAGAGGGGGGCTTCTGGGCTCAGCAACTGTGAAAGAGGAGGGGCCCCTGACACCCCTTAAGGCAGGTCACTGCAAGAAGGCACTCATGAGGGGGACTCCATGCCCCTCCTCTCTTTCTTCATATAAAAATGGAAGTGGGGAGGCAGAGGGAGGCAGGGAGACCATCCCTCCCAGCCTATGGGTAGAGGACAAGATGCGGAAGGGGCCAGGTGCTGGGAGTGGAAAGCAAGAAACTGCTAAGCCAACAGGGGCCCGCTCACACACACCCTTCCCACCTTCCCTCCTTCTCTTTAAAGTCTGCAGTCAGGGCCTAGGTGGAGGAGGCTCATGTTCTCCCTTCTAGCTGGTACGAAGTTGATAATCTGCAAGGAAACGATGGGCATGGACCGATTCAGAACTGGAGAAAGGGAAAGGAGGAACAGTCCCCCCACTTCTCCAGCCCCAGTGCCTGTGATCAACCCTGCGAGGATGGAACAAGATTGAGGATGGGGGGGTCAAACACAAGGACTGTAACCATGGCAACAAGCCTGTTTCTAGGCAGCAAGTGGGAGTGCTTTATCCAAGCCCAGGAACTGCCCTCATTTTAAAGATAGGCAAACATAGGCCCAGGGTGGCACGATGATGAAGATGGGGCAGGCTTGGGTGCAGGCCTATTGCGTTTTAGAGCCCTCTGCGCAAGAATATATCAAAGCCCCAAGCCCATCCCCCTTCCTCTCCTTGACCCCATCATTTCAGGGAGCCGAGCTGCCTTACCACCACTCTGGGTGATGTAGCGGACCCAGGGCAGTGCCTGGTAACCACTTTTCTCGATGATCTTCATGTATCGGACCTGGAAAGAAATGAAAGGAGGTGGCCCAGGCTGCAGGAAGAGGGCTGGTTGGGGTCAATAGAATATATGTGACACAACTTGGGGGAACAAGGTGGCACAAGCTGGGAGTAATGATGTGACATGGGTTGGGGCAAAGATGTGGCATGGGCAGTGGGAGTGAGGGAAAGGAAGGTGGTCCAGGACAGTGGGAAAGAGATAGCACAGTGTAAAGAAATAGACACAATGCAGTTTTAGGAGGACAGGGTGGCACAGGCCTAGGGAATGGTGAATGGCTTGCAGGTCAGAGAGGGACGGAAGTGAACAAGCTGGTGGGGAACAAGGTGGCACAGAGCAAAGTGACAGGTAGAAGGAGAGGAGAACCAGGCTGAGAGCAGAAGAGGCAACAGTGTTCCATGGAAAAGACAAGGATGACTACAGAGAAGAGGTGACCCAGGCCAGGGAACAGAGGTGACCTGAGACGAGAGATGGACAGAGGGGAACCTGCCAAGGTCAGGGAGAAGAGCCATCACTACCCACTTCCCTCACCTGAATCCCAGAGACGGTGAAGTAGGGGATCTCAAACTTGACCCCAATGGGGGGCCGGCCCTCCTCCTCCTCCTTCTCCACGCTGGGGAGGCCAAAGTGGGCACGCATCAGGTACTCCTTGCCCCCCTGAAGGCACATGGGGGCATCAAACACGCTGACGGACCCGTACATGCCCCAGACCATCCTCACAGCAGCCCCCGGAGCACACTCAGCTCTCAGCCTATTTCACAGACAAGAAAGTAAAGGCTCCAGGCCAAGGCTCACAGCTGAAGCTTCTGACTACAAAGCCTGGCTGGCAGGTGGATGGGAGGCTCTAATGACCATCTCCCGTTTTTCAGGCCCTAATGCACCGCCCCCCAGATCCCAAGGACAGACCAAATCCTCCAGCAGTCGGAGGACATGGATAACATAATCCTGCCTATTTCACAGCAAAATGAGGCCCCACAAGGGGAAGAGGGCTTCCCAAGGCCATCCAGCTCAGAGAGGCAAGAGGGGAGACCCAAACCCAGGGCTGATTTCCTCCAGACCTGGGAGGGAAGCATAACTACCATGCTGGCCTGGTGGTTTACTGCCTTAGCTTAATTACCCCCCAAGGACAACTGCGTGCATGCAGATGTGGGTCTCTGATTGGTTCTCCACCTGGCCCTCAAGCAGTTAGATTGGTGAGGGGGTTGGGGGGGCAGATAAGCACTGTGAGTAACTGTCCCCACCTTTCCCCAGTGCTCACCGGGAAAGACTTAATACTCCAAATCACGATGTTCTTCTCAGGCACGTACTTGGCACTGCCCACGCTGGCCTTGAAGCGCGGGGAGTCGGCATCGCTGGGCACCGGCACAGATATCTCCACGCCGTTGGCCACCGATTGCTTCTTAAACTGCCCCTTGGCCTGTCCAGGGAGAAAATGTGCAGCAGGAAGAATTCACTCATGGGTTCTGCAACCATTCACTAAGACCTTTCTATGCGCCATCTCACCGAGAGCTTCCGAAACCCTGAAGTGGGGACCACTGTCTTGCCCAGTTTACCAGGGAGGAAAACAGAGGCGCAGAGAAGTTAAGGCATTTGCCTGGAGACACACAGCCAACAAGTGGCAGAGCTGATAGCTGGCATTTACTGAGCCCCTGCCATGTGCCAAGCACTTATCCCTCTCACTGATTCTCTAAAGTAGGGTCCATTCCTAAGGTTCATTTTCCCAACAAGGAGACTGAGGCACAGAGAGAAAGAGCACATTGCCCAAGTCATATAGCTGGTAACTGGCACAGTAGGAGGTCAAACTAAGCCTGTATCCTCAACCATCACATGCCCTCCTTACGAATAAATGAAGTTACAACACTATACTTAACGTCTAGAGCTGTGTGACACTGGACAAGCTTTTAACACAATGATTCTAAGTGTCCCATGTGTCATAGTTAGCATTTTGATTACTGCTATTATTTATTCATTTAGGGAGGGATATTTGATAGGTGGGATCAGGGGCAGAGGACCTGGAGGTAAATGGTAGGGGGAGAGAGTACTTGGAAGGCACCAGCTTTAATAACCCCTTCCCCTTTCCTGCCTGCAGACATGGGGACATTGAGCAACATCAAGACCCTACGTGGTGACCATCTGCTCTGCAGCCCAGCTCCCCTGAGAACCCAAGATGAGGGAACAAAGTCAAATCTAAGGACACAGACTCTTGAGTCAAGTGGACCCAAGTTCAACATGGGGAACCTCCCCTTCTTAGATGAGTGACCTCTTAATCCCCTACACCTCAGTTTGCTCATCTGTAAAAGAGGGTAAACTATAAGTTCTGGAGAAGCCCTTTCTTAGGGCACCAGGAAACACACACAGGGTTGTTCATGGCAGCGCAGACCAGAGTAACCAAGAACTGAAAACATCTCACGCAGGAGAATGGAGAGATACAGAAGATTCCCATGGTGGAGTATTCTACAGCTCCAGGAGTGGATGCACTAAGCTAAGGTGACTCCTGGAATCACCTTAAAATCAATGTTACATAAGCAAAAGAAGTCAGACGCAAAACTGTACAGCCGGAGTCCACTGATCTGAAGGTCAGAAACCAGCAGAACAAAATATCTGTGGTGACACATGTGGGTTACGAAATTATAAAGAAAGGCAAAGAAATAATTTACATAAAATTCAAGATCGTGATGACCTCTGGGCAAGGGGAGAGCAGGAATTGGGGGAGGGACACATGGGGGTTCAGAGGCTCTGGTCAACTACATTCGAATAAGCTGAGTAGTTCATTATTATTCTTTAAATCATATAATTACACTATGTATATATGTGTATATATGTATATATGTATTTAGTAAGAAAGTAAATTAAATATGTAAGTAAAACAATTCCTGTCAGACGGTGATAAATAATAGAAGAAAAAATAGAGCAAAGGGAAGTGGGAAATGCTAAGGGGAAACAATTCTAAATAGGGAAATCAGGGAAGGGCTCTCTGAGGAGGTGACATTTAAGAAGTTAAGGAGATGAGAAAAGGAGCCACGTGGATACCTGCATGGGTGGGGGCAGAGTGATCCAGGGAGAGGGAACAGGCAGCACAAAGGCCCTGTGGGCATTGGGGGGTGGGGTGAGGTGGGGGAACCATACCTGACATGTTTGAGAACCAGCCAGGAGATCAGTGAGGCTGGAGGGAAATGAGGAGCCAGGAGGGAGGTGGGAGATGAGGTTAGATTGGTGAGGGGGTTGGGGGGCAGATCAAGCACTGTGAGTAACTGTCCCCCTGGCCCACCTTGACCATGATCTCCACACGGCTGTGGGAGAACTTCTCAATGACGGACTCAATCCAGATCAGTGGCTTGACCTGCAGACACAGGAAGGGGGAGTTCTGGGAGTCTCTGGAGTCAACTCTGAGCCCCTGCCATGGGGCTTAGCCCTGCCTCACCTGTGTGCTGAGGCGATAGGACATGAGCTCAAAGTCGCCATCGGGCGGGATGAAGGAGATGGTGCGGTCGTTGTCGAAACGAGAGAGTCGCACGCACTGGTGAAACTTCACATCCTCCAGTTCCACAGACTTGTTCTTGCTCCCTGAAACTCAGAGCCAAACATGCAGGATGACCCTGGGGGCCAGAGCAGTGTCTCTGCCCCTACCTTCATCATTCACTACTACCATCACCCCTATTTTTCCGATGAGAAACTGAGGCCCAGAGTGGATGAGTAACTTGCCTGGTCACCCAGCTGGCCAGGGCAGAGCTAGGACCTGAACCCAGGGAATCTTTTAAATACGATGCTACTCTGTCTCCTAAGATAGTCTAGAATTCAGCTCCATGAGGGCCACGATCTGTCTTTTTTTCACTGCCCTGTCCTTGTACCTGGCACTCAGTAATGGAGCAGTGTTTCCTCAATGAACCAGCAGCTGCGCCGCTGGCCATGACCAGAAGAGGGCGCGTGAGTGCTTATTTCAGAACTGGCTGTAATTCTCTGGGTCCCCAGATGCGGAGGGGTCTCCAGCTCCTCAGTGAGCGCCTCTCCAGACACTTACGGCCAGTGAGCTCAAAGAGCACGCGGTCGTTGAGGCCGAGCCGCAGCTCCGGCATGCCAGACAGAAACACCTTGAGCTTGATGGTGCCCACGATTTCACTCAGCAGGACGCTGCCATTAGCATTGACCTGAGGATGCACGCACGGGGGGTCATAAGGCGGAGGGTCCCCTATCCTGCTCCCAGGCCGTGGCAGAGGCAGGGTGGAGGTGTAGGGGCTCACCAGCAGATTGACAGACTCTATGACATCGATGAAGACCTCATTCTTCTTGTACTTGATGCCCTCAGAACGCCAGGACACAGCATTGGTGACAGTGGGTGGCACCCGTGACTTGCCTGTCTCCAGCTTATTGCCCTGCTGCGTGATGTACCTGGCAGGGAGCATGAGCAGGTGGACGCAGGGACACGCTCCTGGCCCTCCCCGACTTCCTTCCACCTGTGGCTTCCCATTTGGCTGCCCCCATGGCCCACTCACTCCTGCAGAATCTTGCTGTCGGTGGTCTGAGGGAAACCGAAGTCCATGAGCTCATCCAGCAGCTCGTAGACAATGACAAAGTTGTCCCGGATGCTCTCCTCCTCCAGCTCCTTGAAGTATTCAGAGAATACCTGGGGATGTGGGGAGCAGACACACAGAGGTGTAGCTGGTATAGCCATGGGCTGGGTCCCTGCTGATCCAGCCAGCCATCCAACAAGCAATTACTGAGCACCTACTGTATACTAGTGCCAGGACATTAGTGGTAAACAAAACCCAAAGGGCCCCTGCCCTCATGGGAGAAATGGACTGGTAACAGAACCAATATAATCCAACATGTTGAGTACAATAATGAGGAAAACACAAGGAAAGTAGGAGCCCAGAGGTGAGGAGGTCCAGGAAAACTTCCTGGAGGAGGAATTGGAAGGGCTCAAAACTGTTTTGTTTGTTCATTTGTTTGTGGGACACGGATCCCTGCAGACCCACCTCAGAATAAGGTTTGTAAATGCATAAAATAAAATACAGGGGATGGCGAAATAAGCCTGTTAGATAAAAATACAACTAAGTTCATGGACTTTCTGGATTCTATCCACAGGCCCCTGGAGATCTGAAGACCCCAAGTTAAGAGCCCTGGGAATTGGGAGGCATAGCCAAAGCAGAGAACCTGTCAGTCTTCAACATTCAAACATCCTCCACTCCTCATCCTGCTGCAACTTCACTGGCCTTTCTATTCCTACTGGCCTTTACATAAGCAGCCCCTCTGCCTGGGACACTCCTCCCCCACCTTGCCTAGCAGAAGGCTGCTGCATTCAGGCCTCATTTCGAATGCGAAGCCGCCCCCCACACACACTACGAGTATCACGCTATGGTGAGATGAGCAAACCGGTCACTGATTTGATCTCCTCCTGTTTAATCTCCTTCACGCCCTTTAATTCCTCAGGACAGGTAAGGCCCTGGCTAAATCAGAGCTCTGTCTTCCCTTTGCCTGGCAGAGAGGAGACAAATCAATAAATAGTTCTCATTTGTGGAAAAATATTGACTGAGCACTTTCTTAGTCATTGAGAATGGCATAGAATAAGCGCTCAATTATTTTGATTTTTATAATATTACCGATAAGCAAATAACAATATCGAACCTTTGTTGAGCACTTACTGTATACTGAGAACTGTTTTAGGCACTTTAGGTGTAGGAATTTGGTTAATCTGTACGATGACCCTGAAGCAGGACTTGTTTTAACCCCTAGTTTAGAGACACAGAGAGAAGTGACTTGCTTAAGATAACTCAGGGAGAGATGATTTCTCAGCAGCCAGTGAGAACACAGACTGATGGGGCTTTGATGGGGGCCCTCCAGGGAGGTCAAGCAAAGCTTCTTAGGAGAGATGGATCCTAAAGGAGGCAGACAAGACAGATGGACAGACAGACCAGCCAGCCAATGAAAGGCTGGGACCTACCTCCACTGTCTTGTAGAGGAAGGAGTACACGAGTGAGGCATTGGCATTCTTCAGCGTGGTGGCCACCACTGCGGGCAGCGAGGTTAAGGAAAAGGTGCCTTCTAGAAGGGCTCGAGTGGAGCACAGATCCTGAACCCCCACCCTGTCCCCTGCTACTGCTCTTGAATCTGCCCACCCATCCCCCAGCCTGAGCCCCCACTGATGTGCTGTGAAACTGCTGTCTTCAGCCCACCCTTTCTGGGCCTGAGCTGCTGCCAGAGACCCCACCTGTAGCCGGATACGGTAGAGGTTGCTGTGTTTGATCCACAGAAAGTGGACCCGTCCGTGGCTCAGCAGTGGAGCCAGGGCCCCCTCCTCCTCCCGCTGCAGGAGCAGAGGCATGAAGTGCTCTATCTCACTCATGGCCACATCGCCCTTGTAGTTGCGGCTGATCAGGGGCTAAGGGTGGGCAGAGGAGGTCCTGTCACCACTGGGATCTGGGGACCCTGTACCCGGGGGCATCAGATGCCTGGTTCTGACTCTACTTCCTGGCCAAGGGGCCTGAGCAAGGCTCTGCCTCTCTGTACCTCAGTTTCCTCCTCTGTGAAACGGGCATGTGATGACAGCTAACGTGTCTAGAGCCCCCATTGAGGTCCAGGTCGTGTTCCACTAAAGATTGGATGTTTGCTTGCTGATTTAGTTCTCACCACAATCCTGTGAGGAAGGTGTCATTGTCATCTCCATTGTACAGATGGGAAACTGAGGTAGGAACTGTCTCCATAGTAAGTGGGAACCAGGAATTGGACCAAGGTGCCCTGGCTTCAGAATTCCGCTCTCGCCCAGGGCTTTATATGCACCAAATCAATGCAGTAGGAATGATAAGAGGAAAGAAGGACGAGAAGGAAGGAGGAAAGGAGGGATAGATTACAGAAAGAAAAAGAAAGATTATAGAAGAGGGAAGGAAGGAAGGGGGAAAAAAGATTATGCCAAGAGGAAGGGAGGGAGGGAGGGAGGAGGGAGAGAGAGATTATGCTAAGAAGAAAAAAGTTAAATTAAAAAAAAAGTAAAAAGGTTATGCCCATATATCTCTTTTAGCTCATGTAGCTTTGCCTGGCAGGCAATTAAGCAGTCAACAATAATAGTATCTACTTGCTGAGGTTGTTTGGCTCAGCGCTTAGAACTGGGAGGTCATATAGCTGGTAGTCAAATACCTTAGCTCTCACTATTATTATCAGGAATATTATTTCCACCACTACAATTGTTATTGCTATTGAATGACAAGATGAATGAGAAGGGACTCCAGAAGGGGACAAGGCAGGCCCAAAGGAGAATCAAGGTCCCCCACCCCTGCTCTCTTCCCCAAATATTAATACTGTGGATGATGATGGTGATAGAAATAATTTTAATTGACTGCCTAATGTTTGCAGCAGGGCTACTGTGCTAAGTAGCTTCCACGCATACGGTTGTATTAACTGTTCTGGGGTGGGGACCTCTGTTATTACCATTTCTACCGATAGAGAGATTGAGGCTCAGAGAGGTGAAGCCCCTGGCCCCAAGTACGCGGCTAGTAAACGGTGGAGGTGAGATTGGACCTGGGACTCTGCGGGATTGGGGGAGAGGTGTTCCCACGCCCCCAGGGCTTTCTAGGGCCTCCCAGCCTGGGTTAGGGGGAACTCAGCCTCACCTATCGGTCCCCCACCCCTGCGCCCAGACTCACCTTGCCCTTGACATCGAGGATGAAGACGGCCGAGGCAGACATGGTGGCGGCCGGCGGACCTAAGAGGCGCGGAGCGAGAGGAGGAGACGACGGTGGCGCCGCTTCCTTGTTCCTGCGGAAGCGCCGGCGCGCAGGTGAGCGCCCAGGTGAGCGCGTCTTAAAGGGGAGGCCGCCAGGTGAGCGGTGCTGTCGGCGGACGTGAAGACGCTTGGAGGGCAGGAGAGGCAGGGCTTCGGACCCGACAGCTGCCCCGCCTCACTGTACCTTCGAACCCAGGGGTGCTGATGGGCATGGGCTGAGATCCGAGACCAACTATCCATCCATCCATCCATCCATCCATCCATCCATCCATCCATCTTGTTCCTCCTCTGTCTCTCACACAAGCATGTCACCCCAACAGGGCAGAGACTTTGTCCTGTTCATATCTGTGTCCCCTGTGCGTTGGACACTCAAAATTGTTTGTGCAACTCATTCATTCTTTCATTCATTCATACAAAAAATTTTATCAATTATTCTTTCACTCAGATATTTATTCACTAGTAAATTCCTTCTCTCAGTGACAGGAACTGTGGGTTGCACTCTGAGTAGGACAAATGTCGCCGCTTTTATTATTATTCTTAATGTTGCGCTTATTCATTCCAAAAATATTTATAAGCTCCTACTATGTGACATTAAGATGTTGATAGAATGTGGAAGAGATAAATGGTTGTTATTATGGTTATTATGACTATAAATATTATATCGTTAGTTATTTAACATTTATTGGAACACCTACTGTGTGCTGGACTGGACATATGGAAGCTGCTTTCATGATGGTGATGATATTGTTGATGATGAACTCGGTGAGTGAGTATTTATCGATTGCTCTCTGCGGTACTATGGATAGTAATATAGACAAATGACATAAAAACCCCAACACAAGATGGTCCCTGGAGAGGATGGGAGTAATGAAGGCAACTGAACTGATGTCAGGGGCTTGGGGATGTGCACTGGAGAATGAATGGGGGGCTGTGGGCAGGACGATCAGAGAAGGGGTTGACATCTGAAAATTCCCACCACAGCCTAATGAGTGGGACAACCGAAGAGAAAGAGTCCAAGTTCAGAGCCTGGCACAAAGCTGGCACTAGTACTGTTTTTGTCGTTTATGTGTGCTTGTCAAGTGCGTGGGCTCTGGAGACCTAGCTGCTTGGGCTCAAGTCCTGGGTCTGCAACTGGCCAGCTGGGTGGCCTTGGGCACCTGGCCTCCCGTCCTTGGATCTCGGTTTGCGTGTCTGTGAAATCCAGTTATTAACTGCGCTCTCCTAACTAAGTTACAGTGCAGTTTGCATGAGTTCTTACACACAACACAATGCTGTGGACAGTGCCTGGCATGTAGCTGATGCTTAATAATGTTATTGCTATTTGCTATTATTATTTACTATATGGCAGTTAAGAGCACAGGTGCTAGGTTTGAACCCTGACTCCGCCATTGGCAGTGTGGCGTTGGGTTAGTGACAGCACCCCTTGCGCCTCAGTCTCTACTTCTGTTAAATGGACACAATGGCCACAGTGCCGCTTCCACAGCCTGCGCTCACTGAGTTTCTGGGCATAACTCATGCCTGGCACTGTGTCTACACTCGCTGCACATCAGCGACTGTGGATCTGGGCTCTACCCCGTGACTGTGTGATCTGGGCTGCAGAGAAGTTTGGGGGAAAGAAGGAATAAAAGGGAAATTCAAACAGCCTGGCTGGGACGGATTCTGCTCCACAGGGGTTGGGAGGGCGGGTCCTGGGGGCTCCAGGGGGCGACACTCAGCTCTTTCAGGCCTCTTTCCTTCTTCTGGAAACCCAGCCTCAGACTTTTATCAGCTCCTGAGGGTGAAGTAGGCGGCCCCTCAAGACACTTAAGAGAGGGCCCAGCCGCTATCAGAACCACCAGCTTCCCCTCCACTGGCACCTAACAGTAACACGATAACCACTGCAGTAGTGCACATTCTTTGGGCACTTACCTTTCAACACTTCATGTCTTTTTTTTTTAATTTTGTTATTTTTTGCTGTGTTTGACTCTGGTCTTCCCAACTATGGTTTCCTGGTCATTCAGGACCTGAGGGGAAGAACTTTTTGTCTTCTTACATTGGAAAAAGCAGAGGCTGAGAGAGGAGAAGCTACTTGCCCAAGGCCACATAGCCTGAAGGCAGTTGAGTCAGAACTTGAATCTGAGTCATAGCGAACAGGGTCCTGGCCTTCACTTAACTGCCCTGCTGTATTGCAGGGTACAAGCGTTACTATTACCACCAATAGCTCATGCCTATGGTGCTCACTATACCCAGGTGCTGCCCTAATGGGCTCTCATGCAGGAATCCTCCGTGAAACGACACTTTCAGTTAGGAAAATCTATTATCTCCATTTGACTGAAAGGAAAATTGAGGATCAGACAGTGAGTGACCCATACAAAGTCACTTGCCAGCAGTGATAGAGCTGGAATTCTAGCCCTTCAAACCCTAAGGTTTTATGCTGGCTCTGCCCCAAAGAGGGGTGTCCTCTGTGATCCATTCAGCCCCAGCTCAGGAGGTGACCCAGTGGCATTTCAGGTGCTGCCATGCCCTCCTCCCAGCCCAGGCATTACTGAATCTCACAAGGGCCCTTCTCCTGGGGCCCTGAGATGTTCTCAGGCAGTAAATAGAGCCCTAAAACCTGGGCCAGGTGCCCTGGAATCTGAAACGCACGGCCTGTTTGGCTGAAAAATTTATGAGTCCAAAAGATTCAGCTTGGTCAGAGAACAGAGCATCTCTGTGTGAACAGCTGTCCCACCTCAGCTGCAACTTCCCATGTCCCCAGGGCTTGGGGCCTTGCCCCAGTTCCTCCTAGGTGCCTAGAGCCTGCCCAGCCTCCCCTTAGGGTCCCTGCTTCTAGACACCCCAATAGATCCCTTCTCTACACCACTAAAAAGACCTCTCTGAAACTCACAGCTCTTACCACCCTCCCTCATTCTCACATCCTCCACGGCTCCCCATTGCCCTGAGATGCCCTGCCTGGCACAGTCAGACCTCTGCTTTCTTCTGGCACCTGACTTCTCCATGCATGCCTGCCCCTTTTTGCTTTCTCTACCTCGATCTCACTGGGCTCTCAAGTTTCCTCTTCAGGAAACCCTCACTGACCTCCCACCTCACGTTCTAGGTCAAATTCCTCCTCTGGGCTTTCCGAAGTGTCACCTGTCACAGTTGTGTTGCACCCTAATTTTAAAAATCTATATTTTTTTTGCCATCTATATGGAAACGTTATTACAAAATTATGAAGCAGAGATCTGTAATAAAAAATACACATTTGGATTTGTTTTAACACCCGAGTAAGTCTGAGAGAATCTTAATATAAGCCACTCGAGGTAACACATTCACATCCAAAAGATTTCAACAAGTTTATGCAGCTAATTCTTAATAGTTTGGACCCAAATATTCCAATGTATTATGAACCAGTCAGCTGTCCAAGTCTTTTAAAACCAGTCTCTACCGAAATTTCTGAACAATCACAGCAAAAGCCACAGAATAATTGGAAGAATCAGATGTTTCCATGATAATTAAGATCAAGGATCCATGAAGAGTAGGAAATCTATTTAAAGAAAAAAAAACTTTTATTATGGTAAAACATATGTAAGATTTACCATTTTATTCATTTTAAGTGTAGGTTTTAGTGTCATTAAGTACATTCACATTGTGTAACCATCACCATCGTTGTCCCCAGAATTTTAAAAAAATCTGTTTTTTTTTTTCATCCTCTCAAACTGAAACTATCCCCATTAAAAACTAACTCCCCACCCCCTCCTCCCCAACCTCTGGCGCCTGCCATCTACTTCCTGTCTCTACGAATCTGACTCCCCTAGGGACCTCCTATAAGTGTAACCATACAGTATTTGTCCTTTCATGACCAGCTTGTTTAAATCTATTTTTGGAAATAGAGTTTTGGTTAGCCAAGAAAAATATAGATGCTTTCTCCCACTAAAAAAGAAAAAGAGAGAGAACATAGATTGGGAAAACTTGTCCTCTTGCCCGCCCCACTCCATCCTAGTGCCTCTAAGCACCCCTGGGACGTTCAGTTCTTTTTCTGTTTAGTTTCATGCAGATGTATGTGTGTGCGCCTGTGCGTGTGATGTTCTCTCTCTCTTTCTCATACCATACATGACTAAACACTAAACAAGCCTTGCTATTTTCATTCACCAGTAGGACCTGGAAGCCTAGCTGGGCTACACTGGCGGGGTCGTGGCTGAGGGGTGTGGAGGATGTGTGGGTTGTGAAGTCAGCCTCCAGGAGTTCAAATCCTTGTACAGTCCCTCCACTCACTGTGACTGTGGATAAATTAACCTCTCTGTGTTACTTTCCCCAACTGGAAAATGGTTATAAAGATTTAATATAAAGCACTTAATACCACCCCTAACGCTGAGTGAGCTCCCTACAAACATTCCTCCTTGCTATATAACCTGTGGTGCCCCCTCCTTCTTCCTTAAACTATTTTAAAACTTTCCATTTTAAAAATGTCACTTGTATTAAGAAAGTCTCACAAACTGAACCCACCTGGGTAACCACAGTACTGTTTCCTGTCCCCTAGAAGCCACCCTATGGCCCCACCAGTCACTACCTCCTGCAAAGACAACCGTAGATCCATGTTCTGTTATTATAGGTTAATTAGTTATGCCTATTCTAGAACATACAAAAGTGTCTGGCCTTTTTCACTTGGCATACTGCTTCCTCCCCACTTCCCCAAATTCACTCATGCTGTTGCACTTACCAAAATTCATTCCTTTTTATTGCTGAGGAGTATTCCATGGTATAGATGGACCACAGTTTCTTGAACTACTCACCATTGGTGAACATTTGGATTGCTTTCAATGTTTGGCTATTATGAATAAAGCTGCTATGAACACTTGTCTCCACGTCTTTGTGGGTTTCTTTTCTTTTTTAAGTAGTTTTGTTTTTCTTGGGTCAATACCTAGGAGTACAATGGCTGGGTCATATGGTAGGTGTGTGTTTAACTTTATAAGAAACTGCCAGACCTTTTTCCAAGTGATTGTGTCATCTTATATTCCCACCAGCAGTGGAGGAGAGTCCCATTTGTTACGGATCCTCACCAGCACTTGGTACTGTCTGTCTTTCTCGTTTTAGCTATTCTGATGGGCAGGCAGTGGTATTTCACTGTTTAAATTTGCATTTCCCTGATGACTTCATTCTTTTTATCCACTGCATGCTCTTTCCTCCTGTGACCCTATCACGGTGATGTATGCATTCTTCTGTTAGTGGACATGTATATCTCTCCCATTTTTTACAATAACTATCAAAACCGCAGGTAACACCCTTTGGCACAGACGCCCCATGCACACATGCCTGCGGTGGCAGAGAGAAATCGCACAGGGTGAACACGGTTTGGATTTAATCTCTCTGTCAGAGAACATTCTGCCCCACAGCATCTGCTCACCTGGCTTGATGTTAACCAAACTCAAATTCTTGCCAATCTGATTAGTGAAAAATGGCATCATTCTGTCTGTTCACTGGCACACAGTCAGCAAACGCTCACTGTCTATTCGACGATGGAATGGGTGGATGGACGGATGGATGGATGGATGGGTGAAGGAATGACGACTGCTCCTTGTGAACCAAATACACTAAGAGGGTTCTCTCACTATCTCTGATGGAAAACAAAGGTTGAGGCCCCACCCTTCTTGAGCCCGACCCCGCCCCGGGCCCCGCCTCTGCCCGCGCGGGCCTCCCATTGGAGAGGGCACGCGGGGCTGGCCCGGCAGGCTGGGCCCGGCCCGGGTGGGGCGCTGCAGCCCGCCGAGCCTCCCGCCCGCCTGGGCTGGGGTCGCGCTGGTTTGAACTCCCTTGCCGGACCGCCTTGGCCATGGAGGACGAGCGGAAGGACGGAGCCTACGGTAGGAGCCGCCTCTGGCCTGCGGCCGCCTATGCTGAATTGAGGGGACCCTTGGGGGAGGGGGACGTCTGAGATCTTAAACACCTGCATTGCAGCTGGGACCCCCTTCTGCTTCCCGGGCCTATATCCCTCTCTGCACTGAGCCCACTCCCCTTCTAACCGCCAGGTCGCCCTGCGTCTCCCTGGTCCCCTGCGCTCCCTCCCGCTGATGGGCCGGGACGCATGGCGCATGCTCCGCCCGGGGAGGTCCCGTTATCTGGGTAGCTCAGATGCCAGGCGGGGGAAGGGATGCACGGCGACCCAGGCCCCGAAAAGGGAAAGGAAGGCCCCAACCTCCTCCAGTCCCCCTCTTCTTCCAGTCCCCTTTGTCTACTTCTCCCCCCTGCCCACATCTCCTGGAAAGTAGCCGTCCCGGGGCTTCGGCCAGTTGGGGAAACTGAGGCAAGACTGAGCAGACCGAATGCAAGGGCAGGAGCCCATCGGGTCCCGCCCGACGCCTGGGAAAGGCGGAAACCAGGACGCCGCCGGCGCGGGGCAGGAAGGAAGTCGGAAACAATTGGGAAACTTTCCTTTACCCCGTGCAAGTGGTTGGGGTGCCCGCGGCCTTTTTTGCTGAATCGGGGCAACTGGACACCCTCCTGCGAACCTGAGGGCGACTTCGCCCCAGGGTCCAGGGAATGGTGTCGAGATGAGGCCCCTCCTCACCCACACTCTACTGCGGGTTCCTTCCCCAGTTCCCACGGGAGGGGGGGAAGGAGTACAGTCCTCAGTTTCTCCTTTCTCTTCCCCATTTTGGGTCCTGGGCACACATCCCACCAGACATTGCCCTGGGGCCAAAGTACTCTTACACACCTTCTCTGGGACTTCCTGGAAACTGTGAGACAGAATGGTCTTGGGGAGGGGGCCGGAAACCGCTCAAAAATAAAAACACCTGCTAGAGCTGTGCCTCCCTCCCCTCCTTCCCCACTGAAGACTGTGGCCTCAGGAGTCTGCAGAGACAGATGAGGGATGCTGGGTCCCTCCCTGCCCAGCCCTGCGGAGAGGGAGGCCAGGGTGAGGTGGGCTATGGGGACCTGGCCACTACCCAGCCACTCCCCTCCCCACTTGAAGCTGCCAGTCTCTCTAGGGGCCCCCTTGTTCTTGGTTTTGGCTTAAGCCCCAGACCCTGTGGCTGCCCATGCTGTGTGTCCCTTGGGTGTGGCCAGCTGTCTCTGATCTGGAATTTTTAGTCTTGGGTCCAGGCCAGGCTCTGCCTGCCTGCGGGCAGCACCTGAGAGAACTCTGGTCTTCTGAGGCTCGGCTGTGGTAGAGATGAGGGACAGAATGGACAATGACGTGATTCACCCATCCTTGAATTTGGCCAAAGGGAGCCAGTCATGAATGGGCTTGAGCAAACCTTCCTAGGCCCCCTGCCAGCCTCACACCCAAGACAGGGGACCTCTGTGCCCAGCACACCCTGATGGAGCACATTCCATCAACAAGTATTTATTGAGCATCTCACAGACAGGGTCTAAACACCGAGAACACAACAGTGAACAAAGCAGAATTTTTGACCGCAGGGAGTGGACAAGGGAATAAATATGTAATTTTAGGTTGTTGTAAGTGCTGTGAAGCAAAGGACAGAACACCATGTATGTAGGGAAGATCATCTGGGACTATTTTAGGTGACCGAGGACTGGAGGTTGAGCCAATGGCCATGGGAAAATTGAGAGAAGTGTTTCAGGCAGAGAGAACAGTGAACAAACCACACAGTTGCTTAATTATTTCTCTCTATGAGGCCCAGAGGAGCCCTGAGGTGGAGGCTTCAGTTGGTTGGATCTTGCAGCCAGGCCCTCATTTCCTCCAGGATGAGATGGCTTGACTCCTAGAAGTGGGGGCAGGTCTCACTTTGCTTGTAAATAGTCCATTTGCATCAGAACCAAAAACCTGGGACCCTCAGGCTTCCCAGTGAAAACCCTGCGAGATAATGGGGACCTTTCCTTTGAGAATAGCATGCAAGAATAGCTTACATATCCTTGCAGTGCCTTCCATGAATTTACAGGGTGACATCAGGCAGACACAGGCTCAAATCTTGGCTCTAACATGAGCTCTGTGGCCCTGAACAACTGATGACTTCTCTGAAACTTTGTATCCTCATCTGCAGGGCCGGGCATGGTGGGGGAGCATTTCACCCATTTCCTGGCAAGCTCTGTGTGCTCAGGAGTCCTCTGGGGCTGGCGACACTGGGGACATGGATTTTCCGTGAGCCGATAGAGAAGCAGTCCTCTGTCAGAACGTAGACTCGGGCCGGCCTGGGCAGGGCAGGAAGCTCCTTTAGCAGACACTGCGTCTAGAGGAAGGCATTGGCGCCAAGGAAAACGGGAAAATGGCTCCTGGCCCCAACAAATGTCAGCAGTGGGCACTGCTATCCTTCCCACCCCGCCCACACTTGGCGTGAGCAGCATGGAATAAGATACTAGAACCTAAAACAATGGACTCTGGTGGGGGTGGGGTTTGGAAAAAAGTAATGGTGCTTGTTAAAAAAACATCCCATGGCCCAATTCACCAGAGAATTCAACTCGGCCAGCAGTGGAGGCCTGGCATCTAATTTAGAAGACATATTGTTAGGAGAGGGTATTTAGCTCTTAATTGCAACTTTTAAAAAGAGAGATAATGTACGATACATTTACATGCTTCAAAACACAAAAGATACAAAAGACTTTACAGTTTTATCTTGAAAAGTCTCCTTGTCTAGGGCCATGCTACCTTGAACAAGCCCGATCCTGTCTGAGCTCGGAAGCTGAGCAGGGTGGGGCCTGGTTAGTATTTGGATGGGAGACCACGTAGGGAGACCAGGTGCTGTAGGTGTAAAAAAATACAATGAAATAAGGAATCGTAAGATGACAAGGTCCTTGCAGTCTGAGAGGTCAACCAAGGGTTGCCTCGCCTAAAAAAAAAAAAGTCTCTTTGTTTCCTCTCCCTGCATCACACTCCCTTGGAGTGCGTCAGAATTAAAACATGCTGTGTTTTCCTTTCTAGGCCTTAGACTACACATGCAAGATTTACATATTCTGTATTTTGTGGCTTTTTTGTTGTTGTTGTTGTTGTTCTTTTACAAAACTGTCAGCAAATTCCTGGAGTGCTAGCTTCATGAGGCAGGAATTCATGTCTGTTGGTTTGAAGGTGTATCGACAGAGGCTGGCACATAGTAGATGCTCAACAAATATTGTTGAATGGTAGGTTTTCGTTTTACATATTGCTTTTTTTCCCTTTTCTTACTATGCGTTGGAGATGACCTCACGTAAGTGCCTGGAAAGCTCCCTCAGTGTTTTTTGACAGTTGCATCAAGTAGTGCATTCGCGCGTGGACCATCTTATATTTAACCAATCAAGGGGAATTTTAAACTTTTTACTGAAGCAGAAAGGGTTCAGATCCTAATTTTACAAGGCTCCAGTTTTCACACCCATGTAACCAGCACTCAGCTTAGGAAAAAAAAATATTGTCAGCACACCAGAAGCCCTCATGCCCAAGGAGGGCCTATCAGTATTATTATTATTTTTCTTATTACTATCACTTATTATTATTATTATTTTATTTTCGTGATAAAAAAACAATACAAAATTTATGATCTTAACTGTCTTTAAGTGTAGATTAAATAGTCTTAAATATATTCACATTGTTGGACTTTGGCCTGTTTTTGTAAAGCCAGTGGACTAAGAATGGCTCCTATGTCAGTAAATGGTCGTTAAAAAAAAAAAAAAAGAAAAGAATATAAACAGATGATATGTGAACCACAAAGCTTAAAATCTTTAATATCTGGCCCTCGACAGAAAGAATTGCAGACTTCTGGTAGGAATCTTCCTATCACCCCCAGAAAGTTCTCTTATGCTCTTGTCCCATCAATCCTCCAAGAGAGGGTTATTTTGAAATGTGATTTTAAAACTCTTATATAAACAAAATTAATATATTCTGTCTGTGTGGACTGAAAGTTAAAAATAAGCCCTCAGTTGCGGAGAAGATTTTAGCCTTCCACCTGAAAGAACCCTTCACAAACCCTCAGGCAGCTGTCCTCATCCCAGAGGTGACACAGCCAAGAAGTCTAGAGCTTATTAGTATATTCATTCTCTCTCAATATCTCTCTCTCTCTCTCTCTCTCTCTCTCTCTCTC